CTAGTCCTATCAAGCGCAGAGAGCACACCATGACGCTGCGCTTTTTGCGTTGTTTGATTGGCCCTTCGGCTCATAACATCGGCCGCGCTCGGACCGAAGCTGAAACGAAGTATAGCCGGTCGTGGCTTCGTTGGTGGCGGACTCTCCTCTCGTCACTCGCTCGTCGATCGAGTCTACTGTTTGTTTGACATTAAGCTCAAATAAACGCTGCATGGATTACCTCTGCATTGTCTGGTACGTACACTTTATTCCTTGAGTAGGTTCCCTTTATTTGTTTTATTAGTAGTAAACGGAACAGGTCGAGCTAGTGCAGGTACCCTGCCCCCTCCGCGGTAGTGCGATGCTACGCAATCAAGCTCACGACGTCTCTATCGGCCTTCATGGTGGTCATGCACGGTGTCGAAAGCTATCTTACTGGATAGAAAAGCTGACACTTCGGTCAATCAGGAGCGGGTTCCGACGTTCTACAGGCAGAGACCAACAAGGCAGCGAGCTTGGGCTGTGGCGCCCTGAATAATAAACAAACTCTCATCCGAACCAAATCACCGGTGCGAGGCCAGTTATGGTGAAGACATCTTTCACGATGTGTCGGTGCATTCGGACAGCCTGCCGCATCCAGCTCCCCGAAGCAACGCCGCCAACGCAGCCCCCCCCCCCCCCCCCCCGCCTCCTGCCTGCCAGCTCTTTTCGCGTGGTGGCGCGGGTGTAGATAAACATGGCGGAGCCCTGGAATTGGCGCAGACACTGGTCTATATGCGCCGCGGGGAGAAAAGCATGTCGAGTAGGAAGTGTCGGATACAGTGGCACTTTAGTGATTGTGTAAATGTCTATGTCGGTGCTGTGTAATACGCGGCGCTCCTGTTCTCTGCGATGTATGTAGGGTTGCTGTGTACTTGTGATCGCTCGCAGCGTACTAATAGCGCTTGTCTTGTGAATTCCTCCCTTTGTCCTTCTGTTGTTGTTGTGTTTTTCTCTTCTCTGCCACTTGTACTAACAGACTCGTTTTTAGAGCGCAGCTCTTAGGGGCCCGTTCCCGGCTTGAGCGGCGTCGGTGTCGGCGTCGGCGTAACCAAGGTCACCCCAAGGTCACGTGACCCCCAAGGTCATCCCAAGGTCACGTGACCTTGGGGGTCACGTGACCCCCCGAGGTCACGTGACCCCTCTCCCTAAGACACGTGACCCCCCCTCCTTCAAGGTCACGTGACCCCCCCCCTCCCCGAAGTCACGTGACCCCCCCGCCGAGGTCAAGTTACCTCCCCGATGACGTCATATGACGTCACCGGCATCCGCATCGTCATCATCATCATCACTGATGACATCACTGATGACGTCACCGGCATCCTCATCGTCAACGTCATCATCACTGATGACGTCCCCGGCATCCGCATCGTCATCGCCATCATCACTGATGACGTCATCAGTGACGTCACTGATGACGTCACCGGCATCCGCATCGTCACGGATGACGTCATCAGTGACGTCACTGATGGCATCATCGGCATCGTCACGTGACCACCCAAGGTCACGTGACCCCCCAGGTCACTTGACCCCCCCCCCCCCCCCAGTACCCTTCCCTCCTCCTCAAGAGCTGCGCTCTAATTCGGTGTTACA